GCATGGTCTTAGGGTAGGACCAGATACTGAATGGGGTCCCAGAATAGGACGGCCCCCGGGACAGTTGGGGAGGTTGGGCTTCGGGATGCCCCGGGAGTGTTTGCATATAAAATTAACGGGACACCATCTTAATTTTTAAAACAGTGTCTCCTTTTTCTAGAGATGCTCAAACAAAACAACTGCAGTCTGCTGTCACCAATGTGGAGAAGCATTTTGGAGAGCTTTGCCAAATCTTTGCTGCTTATGTACGGAAAACTGCCAGACTGAGAGACAAAGCCGATCTCCTGGTGAATGAAATCAACTTGTATGCCTCTACCGAGACCCCAAATTTAAAGCAGGGTCTGAAAAGCTTTGCTGACGAGTTTGCCAAACTTCAAGATTACCGCCAAGCAGAGGTATGAAATTCGGTCATGGTGGCATTATTATAAACACAAGAAGTAGTGTGTAGGATTTGTGGAGATTTTTCCATTGTAACTTATCTTAACCCGGCGAATGCACACTTGATGGAGCATTTCCTGTCTGTGAGTCCGCTATAGGGAAACTTTCTATGAATTCACAGCTTTCAAACTAAACTTTGGGTGTGTTTGAGTCTTAAATTTCCCGGTTCATTTGCCAACTCTGGTTACAGGGTGCAAGTGTCCAGAAAAGGTGTCAGATACAGCACTTATAAGAAGGAAAGCACCTGCATATCCTGGGTACATCAAGTGCGCTTTAAAGGACAGCTAGAGATGGAAATGCTGAAAATGACAAAATGAACAAATTCCCAATAAATGGTCAGCATAGTGCTGATATTCCCTTGGTTTGAAAGTTGAACGGTCAGAAAGCTGTGATTTATAAACAGAAGCAAACCAAGTGATGTATCGGAAAGGTTGGCTGTGTGGTTGCTTTGAGTGACCAGAGTCTTGCTCTTGTGGGTTCTTTCTTAAAAAACAATAACAACAAAAACCCACATAAGCACTTTCACATCCTTCTTTTAAATGCTAGTTAACTTATAAAAGTTGCCTAGTTTAAACTTCATTGCTCTTTTACTTTTTAAACAAGTGCCATTGTTCTTTTCCTTGTTTACATTTCAGTTACCAAAAATTTTTTGAACTTATCATTATGCATACAAAATTTGAGTACTGATCACTCTGGGATACTGTAAGGAAAATGTTTTCTTGGCATACATTTCTTCTATAACAAGCAATACTCAATTATACATGGTAACTGAAGATTTAGTATTTTAAAAGTATTTTTTAATGCACAGATAATCCTAAAGTCCCTGTTTGCAGTAGTTTCCCCTTTCTTGAAAAATTTTATGCTACTTATCAAATAGCAAAGTGAATTGATTTGCATTTGCTCTGCTCTGTTTCCCTGCTTACCAAATGGTGGAGATGCTAATGAACATGACAAAGGTAGGCAAGGGAAAGAAATGGAAGCCTCTAGAACAGGCTTGAATAATCCTCTCCGTGTACGTTATTGACAATGGTGTAAACTGTCCTGAGTATTCAGAACTCTGATTTTAGAATTCTGAATATGTAAATTACTGATGGGAACTTATTTTTTACATTTTATACTTCCTAAAACCTTCTAAAATGAAACATCTATATAGCATCACTTCCAGAAAATAAAGCATAAATATGAAATAAAATTTCATTGATTGGGTATGAAATGGAAAGGCATTGATTAGATAAACATGTATCATTTTTGAAAAGCATTTTATTTGCTGTAAAAAATGTTTGTCTTAAGCAACAGATGCCATCTACTTGCCCACCCTGACAAAGTTGCAGTACCCCATCATTTTCTTGCCTGTGTATTTGTAGAAAAGATACTTCTTCGGTTTCTTTGACTAGTGTTAGTAAGAGAGTTACTATTATTTTTTGATAAAAATTTAAGTGAGTATGAGAAAGTGTTTAATTCTAGATAAAAAGAGATCAGCTGTACAGTTTGGCAGATCAGCAGTGCTAATCTAATCCCACTTATCTTGTTCTCTAGACTTTGATAAGTCAAATGGCTGTCTAAAAAAAATGCAGCTCATACAATAATCCCTAAGCTGTTTGCTTTTGAGAGTCTTTAATGTTCCTAGTAACACTGTATCTTTCAGATTCAGGCTTTCTGAAAAGTTGAGCTATAGGAATTAGGAGACGGGTATCTGTAATATCTGACAGTATCTGCTTGAACACATGATGAAAATGGTAGCTGTCCTAAAACTATAGATGCCTTAAAAACGTCCTAGAAGCTGCAGCTGTAAGGTAAACACTGTGCTTGTTCAAGGATGAGCGCTTTGAAGTGCCAGGCACATTCCTGTCAGGCTGTGTTCCAGGTGCTTGTGATTGAGGCTGTTGCTGTGTGTTTTACATTTTTAATGTTTGAGTGTAGATTCTGAGTATTAGCAATATCCAGATGATTACCCTTTATAAAAATGTCATAGGGTATCATCTTGAAATTTCAAGTCTTAATCTCTACAGTATTTATTTCAGGTTAAACAGTATAGATTTCATTTCGATGTTTAAATTTTGATATTTCTATGTTTCTTTTCAGTTATATTTTATATGATTTTCAATAGGTTGAAAGGCTTGAAGCCAAAGTAGTTGAACCTTTGAAAGCATATGGAACCATTGTAAAAATGAAACGGGTAAGTAAATCCATTTTTTCATCTATTTAGTAGTCTGACAAGGTATGAGTTTTTTGTCTTTTTTATTACAAATACAAAATAACATGCAGTTATTCTTTCTACATACTTTGGAAAAATTTGGATCTTTAAAAATAATAAAGTGCATTCATCAGTGCATTATTGATAAGTATTCTAATATTCTACAGTAGCAGTAAAAATCATTATTATGGAAAATTTTTAAAATAATGTAATGGATGTGTTTAAGTATTTTTATTTTAAAGTAGGTGGCTTGTATCTTTAAAATATGACAAACTTTTAAAAATCAAATTGGAGTAAAATTTACATACACTACAATTCTTATTTTTCAGTGTTTGTTTTTCATAAATATATATGCTCTTATAAGCATCACCACAACCAAAATTGAAGTCATGTTTGTATGATTTATTTTCCATTCATACTGTGCCTTCCTTTGAGAACACATCAATGAAATACATGCTTCCGTGTGCACACACACAGTACTCACAGTGCCTGGATAAATAAGAAGCAGTCTTCCATTCTTAACATAAAGTGTTCGGTTCTTAAGTTAGAAAGTTTATTAACAAAAATGCTTATTTACAGGATGATCTCAAAGCAACATTAACAGCAAGGAATCGAGAAGCCAAACAGTTATCACAGTTAGAAAGGACACGCCAACGAAACCCATCTGATCGACATGTAATTGTATCCTTTGGATTTTGATCTTAAAATAAAATAAAATAAAATAAAAAAACAGTTTTGTAAGGTATGCAGTACAAAAATAAGCGGACACCATACATCTCTAGATCTAAGTGTGTGGAGAATTCTTGTGTCCATTTAGGAATTCTCACAGTAGAAACCTGCCAGTGAAACAGTAGTTACACTTCCTGACCGAGGCCTTTTCAGTTTTGTCAGTGACTACAAGGATCTCAGCTATGGCTTCTGCTTCCCTATGCTTTCCTTTAAGCAGTCTACAGAGATTCCCAGTTTTTAAAGTAAAATATCAGGGAAACAGAAGGATAAAGATACGATACAAAATAAAAGAACTGTATGTCACATACAATAATCCTTAGGAATCAGCCTGAGTATTCTCAGAAAAAAATTGATCAGAAATCAAAATAATTGACAGCAACTGTTTTAAGAGCAGCTCTTCAAAGGGGCTCTACTTTACATTTGAATTTTCTGCTGTTTAAAAAAAAATCCAGGAATATACAGAAATATTTTTAAATACTTTTTATACTTTTAAATAGTTTTTAATGCTAGTTAGGATTAAATTGAGTCTTTGTTAAAAAAAATATATATGGTAAATATAAACAAATACAGATACAAATTGATATACTTTTAAGTGCTTAATATCTTCAGATCTCTAAGACCAATTCTATAAAGTTATATGATTTTATTCAAAAATGTTCAGTTCTCTTTGAAATGTATTTTTCCTTTATGAAAATTTTCAGTCGCAGGTGGGCAATAAATTGGGTGTGTCAAGAAATGGACCCTGAGAGTAAACCCTTTTACTTGTTTCAATTTATACATTCTTTTAAAAGAAATGGATCCTGAGAGTAAACCTTTTACTTGTTTCAGTTTATAGATTCTTTTAAAAGAAAGCAATAGCTAAATGTCAGAATATTATTACATCTCAAAACTTTGATGACAAATGCCAATATATGATTTTAGAGAAAATATAATTTTAGTATAATGCACAAAACTTTATTAGGAATTATATAATCATAAAATTGAGGTCTTTTTAATTGTTAGTATTGCTTAACATTTAATGTGTGGGGGCAACTGTTGTTCTAAAGGAAAAGATGCTTAAAGAGAAATAACATGATTCAATTGGAATTTTCTGCACTCAACAATACCATTGCTACAGTATGTACCTGAATTCTTGATATGCAGCTAGAGTGACTTAGGAAACAGTTTTTAAAAAAATCTCTGGAGCTGACTTTGAAGATCCCCCCCCATGGAAGGCCTCGCCCTCCTACCTGGGGAGCAGGAGGATGGAATGGGAGGTTGGTGGGGAGCATGGGAGGATGGGAGGGAGAGGGAACTGGTGGAATTGATATGTAAAATAAGATAATAAGATTGTTTCTAATTTAAAGTACAAAATGAAAAAAAACTATGTGCAATTCACAAGTAAATAGCAATGATAATTTGTTTTACAACAGATCTAGAAAGTATGGGTGTGTGTACCACCATGTATAAAGCAAAACATTGAAAATTGCCATTTAATATATTAGTTATTTTATATATAATATATAATAACCATAAACCAAAGCAATGCAATGTTGTTAGCTTGTAAGAATCTGATCTGATTAAGCTGAGCTTAATGGTACATGCCTGTAATCCATCATTTGAAAGGTAAAAGGAGGATCAGAAGTTCAAGGTTGTCTTCTACCAGATAGCAAGCTTATAGCCAGCACAGACCATGTTATATGTATTCTAAAACTATACAGATATAGATACAGATAGGGATATTGTGACACACACCTGTAGTCAGGAGGCAGAGGCAGGAGAACATGACTTTCCAATCAAACTGTTCAGAGGCTCCTAGGACAGCCCAGGCTGTATAGGGAGACTCTAATGCATTTGGGGAATCTGAAAAAGTAAATAGTGATAAGACACTTTAGTCCCACTAGCTTCAAGCGCTTGTATGTTGTAATAATAAAAAAAATTTGGTTCTGTGTAGTGGAAATTGTTATAGCTTAGGTCTTTTTACTGTGTGTTCTTAGTCCTTCACAAAGATTTATTTAGTTCATTTAATCTATACAATAGTCTTGTGAGATAACCGTTATTTTACAGACAATATAATGTGAGAGCATTGGAAATACTAACAAATTATAAGTCTTTTCTTTGGGGGATGAGAGTGAAGGAGAGGGGAATTAGAAAAAGGATAGTGTGATGAATGGCACAGACTGACATAGAGGGAAGTGGCAGAAAATAGAAAATAGTTCTACAGTAAATCCAAGGGCTACAGGGAAAAATAGCTTTAAAGACAGGATTTTTGTTTTGAGATTAAATGTCACTTAACAAACTTAAAATTCTATATTGTGCATACTTTCTAATAGAGTTCTTTCATTGTATGTGGTAAAAGGTAAATGTGAACAGTATATACTGTTAGACCCTAAAATCTAACACTGAAATGATAACTTTTACCAAAAGATTCAACTATATGGATTCTGATTTAAATATTTCCTTTTGTTGGGGGGATTTACTTTTTAGGCAGAAACTGAATTACAGAGAGCCACAATTGATGCTACTCGAACAAGTCGTCATTTGGAGGAAACTATTGACAATTTTGAAAAGCAGAAAATAAAGGACATAAAGGTAATAACTTAATACAGAATGTTTTCTAATGTTACTTAAAGTTAGAGAAGAAATAATGTACTGATTTTTAGCTCAGAATCCTTAAGTTAAAAAAATTATAGACCAACATATGTCAATTGTTAATTGTTATTATGAACACAATGATATAGGGGCTATTTTTTTTTTCATTCTGACTGCAGTTTCTCCTCCCTCCTCTTCTCCTAGTCACTTCCCCAACCCTCATACACTCTTCTTCCATTCCTCTTCAAGAAAAGGGCAGGCTTCCCATGGATATTAGCCAGCCATAATATATCAAGTTGCAGTAAGACTAGGTACATTCTCTCCTATTAAGTCTGAAAGACGAACCTAGTAGAGAGACAGCCCATGCTTCCACTGTTAGAGGAGTCCGAAGAAAGTCAAGCTACACAACTGCAACATAAATGCAGAGGGCCTAGATCAGTCCCATGCAGGCTCCCTGTTTGTCAGTTCAGTCTCTGTGAGCCCCTATAAGCCTAGGTTAGTTGATTCTGTGAGTTTTCTTGTGGTGTTCTTGCCCTTCTGGCTCCTGCAATCCTTCTCCCACTCTTCTGCATGATTGCCCACGCTCAAGACTACTGTTTGGCTGTGGGTCTGCATCTGTTTTCATCAGTTGCTGGGTGAAACCTCTCAGATGACAACTGGACTAGGCACCAATCTATGAATATAACAGAATATCATTACGAATCATTTCATTGGCTTTTACTTTTTAGCCAGTTCTCTTTGGTTCTATCTTAGGTCTCTGGGCTATCCAGCCTCTGGGTCCTGGCCCTCCAGGCAGTGCATTGGATGGTCTCACTCTCATGGCAGGGGTCTAAACTAGTATCCACTCCCACAATCTCTGCACCACCCTTACCCTAGCACATCCCATGAGCAGGACAGACTGTAGGTCGAAGGTTATATGGCTGGGTTGGAATCCCAATTCCTCCACTGGAAGTCTTGCCTGTCACAGGAAATGGCCAGTTCAGATTCCTTATCCCCCATTGCTAGAAGTCCTAGCTAGGGTTATCCCCATAGATTTCTGGGAGCTTCCATTGCACTAGGTTTCTAGCTTTTCCCAGAGATGTCCATCCCCCCCCAATTCCAGTTGTATCTCCTGTTATTCTTTCCCTCCATCCTTCCCCACCTGATCCTTCCTATTCTCATCCCTACTCCCCAACAAGACCCCTCCCCCAAGCCACCTGCAATATCTATTCTATTTCCTCTTCACAGTGAGATTTATATGTCCCCCTTGAGCGCTGCTTATTACATAGCTTCTCGAGGTCTGTGGATTGTAGCAGGGTTGTCCTTTACTGTTAATGTACACCTGTAAGTACATACCATATTTGTCTTTCTGGGTCTGGGTTACATCACTCTATGAACATAGTTGAGCAATTGTCCTTGTGATATGGTGTAATGTCCTTTGGGTATATGCCCAACAGTGGTATATGGTATAGCTGGGTCTTGAGGTAGATCAATTCCCAATTCTCTGAGAAACTGCCATGCTGATTTCCAAAGTGGCTGTACAAGTTTGTACTCCCACCACCAATGGAGGAGTTTCACACTTACTCCACATCCTCAAAAGCAGGGGCTGTCACTTGTGTTAATGGTCTTAGCCATTATGACAGGTGTAAGATGAAATCTCAAAGTAGTTTCAATTTGCATTTCTCTGATCACTAAGGATACTGAATATTTAAGTGTTTGTTGGCCATTTGAGATTCCTGTTGAAAATTCCCTGTTTAGATCTGTACACCATTTTTAAATTGAATTATTTGGTTTGGTGATGTCAAGCTTCTTCAGTTCTTTGCTATTTTGGAGGTCAGCCCTCTGTCAGATGTGGGGTTGAAGATCTTTTCCCATTATGTAGACTGCTGTTTTGTTCATTGGATGGTACCCTTTTTCTTTCAGAACCTTTTCAGTTTCGTGAGGTCCCATTTACTGTCAGTCTTAGTGTTTGTGCTACTGGTGTTCTATTCTGGAAGTTGTCTCTATGCCAATGCATTCAAGGCTATTCCTTACTTTCTCTTCTATCAAGTTTAGTATGTCTGGTTTTATATTCAAGTCCACTTGGACTTGAATTTTGTGAGGGGTGATAGAAATGGATCTATTTGATCTACATGCCCACATCCAGTTAGGCCAGCACCATTTGCTCAAGATGCTTCCTTTTTATATTTCTAGCTTCTTTATAAAAAAAAAAATCAGGTGTCCTTAGATGTGTGGATTTATGTCTAGGTCTTCAATTCGACTCCATTGATCAACCATTCTGTTTTTATGCCAATGCCATGCAGTTTTTATTATTATGGCTCTATAATAGAGTTTGAAGTCAGGGATGGTGATGCCTCCAAAAGTTCCTTTATTATACAGGATTGTTTTGGCTATCCTGTTTTTTTTTTTTTTTCCATGTGAAGTTGAATATTATTCTTTCAAGGTCTTTAAAGAATTATGTTGGAATTTTGATGGGAATTGCATTGAATCTGTAAATTGCTTTTGATAAGATGATCATTTTTACTATGTTAATCCTGCCTATCCAAAGCATGGGAGATCTTTTCATCTTCTTATATTCTCTTCAATTTCTTTCTTCTAAGACTTGAAGTTCTTGTCAGATAGGTCTTTCACTTGCTTGGTTAAAGTTACACCAAGATATATTATTTATAGCTATTGTGAAGGGTGTTGTTTCCCTGATTTCTTTCTCAGCCAATTTGTTGTTTGTATATGGGAGGGCTACTGATTTTTTTTTTTTAGTTAATTTTGTATCCAGCCTCTTTCCTGAAGTTGTTTATCAGCTGTAGGAGTTCCCAGGTAGAATTTTTGAGGTCACTTATGTATCATATGTAAATATCAATATTTTGACTTCTTCCTTTCCAATTTGTATCCCCTTGATCTCCTTTTGCTGTCTTATTGCTCTCAATTTAACTTTGAGTACTATATTGAATAGATAGGGAGAGGGTGTCTTGTTTCTGATTTTAGTGGAATTGCTTTGAGTTTATCTCCATTTAGTTTGATCTTTGCAGTCAGCTTGCTGTATATTGCTTTTATTATGTTTAGGTATGTCCTTTGTATCACTGATCTCTCTCCAATACTTTTATTATGAAGGGGTGTCAGATTTTGTCAAAGGCTTTTTCAGCATTTAATGAGATGATCCTGTGCCTTTTTTCTTTCAGTTTATTAATATGGTGGAATACATTGATAGATTTTCATATGTTGAACCATTCCTGCATCTTTGGGAAAGCCTACTTACTCATAGTGAATGATCTTTTTGATGTGTTCTTGGATTTGGTTTGTGAGTATTTTTGCATCAATATTCATGAGGGAAATTTGTCTATAATTCTCTTTCTTTGTTGAGTCTTTGTGTGGTCTGGATTACCAGGGTGACTGCAGCCTCATGAAATGAATTTGGCAATGATCCTTCTGTTTCTATTTTCTGGAATAATTTGAGGAGTATTGGTATTAGCTTTTTTTTGAAGGTTTGGTAAAATTTTGTGCTGAAACCATCAGGCCCTGAGCTTTTTTGGTTGGGAGACTTTTGGTAATTGCTTCTATTTTACTAAGAGTTAGAGGTCTATTTAAATGATCTGATCTTGATTTAACTTTGGTAAGTATTATTTATTGAGAAAATTATGCATTTCTTTTATATTTTCCAATTTTGTGGAATACAGGTTTTTGAAGTAAGACCTAATGGTTCTTTCAGTTTCCTTGGTGTCTATTAATGTCCCCCTTTTCATTTCTGATTTTGTTAATTGTGTATTCTCTCTCTGCCCTTTAGTTTGGATAACATTTTGTCTACATTGATTTTCTCAAGTACCTTCTCCTTGTTTCATTGATTATTTGTATTGTTCCCTTTATTTGTATTTTATTGATTTCAACCCTGAGTTTAATTATTCCCTGCCATCTACTCATTTGGGTGTGCTTGCTTCCTGTTGTTCTAGAGCTTTCAGGTATGTTTTTAAGTTGATAGTATGAGATCTCTCTAGTTTCTTTATGATGGCTGTTAGTGCTATGAACTTTCCTCTTAGCACTGCTTTCATTGTGTTCCATGGGTTTGGGATTGGTGCATATTCATTTCATTGAATTCTAGAAGTCTTTAGTTTCTTTATTTCTTCTTTGACCCAGTGGCAATTCAATAGAGGGTTGTCCAGTTTCAATGAGTTTCTAGGCTTTCTGTTGTTGAAATCCAACTTGAATCCATGATGATCTGGTAAGAGGTTATTTCAATTATCTGTGACTGCCTATATGGTCAGTTTTGGAGAAGGTTCCATGAGGTGCTGAGAAGATGATATATTCTTTTGTTTGGATGAAATGTTCTATTAAGTTCATTTGAGTCATGTCTGTTAGTTCCAGTATTTCTTTTAACTATCTGAATAACCTGTGCATTGGTAAGAATGGAGTATAGAAGTGTCCCAAAATTAATATGTGAAGTTCGATGTGTGATGTTTTAGTACTGCTTCTTTTACAAATATGGGTACCCTTGCATGTGGAGCATAGATGTTCAGAACTGAATCATCTTGGTGGGTTTTCCTTTGATGAGTATGAAACGTCCTTCCCTATCTCTTTTGATTAATTTTGGTTTGAAGTCTATTTTGATAGATATTAAATAGCCACACCAGCTTGTTTCTTGGGTCCATTTGTTTGGAAAATCTTTTTTAACCCTTTACTCTGAGGTAATGGCTATCTTAAATGTTGAGGTGTATTTCTTGTATGCAGCAAAATGATGGATCCTGTTTTTTTATCCATTATGTTAGCCTGTGGTTTTTTAAAATTGGGGATATGGATATATTATTGAGGGATATCAATGACCAATGATTGCTAATTCCTGTTACTTTGATGTTGGTGGTGGTGGCATATGAATGTGTATGAAAGCAATTCACTTCTTGTTTTGCTAGTGTGAAATAATTTCCTATGTTTTCTTGAGTGTAATTAATTAACCTCCTTGGGTTGGAGTTTTCCTTCTAGTGTCTTCTGTAGGGCTGGGATTGTAGATAGATATTTATACCTGGCTTTGTCATGGA